ATGACCTAGGATATGGAGCAATGCAAAATGGTATTGCCAATTTTAAAAAAATAGTTTGACAGTTTCTTATAAAATTAAATACATACTTACCATATGTCCAGAAATACATCCTTGGATGTCCATAACAGCTTTATCCATAAGAGCCCAAAGCTGGAAATAACCCAAATGTCCATCAATGGGTAAATTGATAAGCAAACATTGGCATATCCATATCATGCAATATTTTTACAATAATAAAAAGGAATAAAGTATTAGTAGTCATGACAATCTGCATGAAATCAAATGCATTATGCTAAGTGAAATAATCCAGACTAAAACTTACATACTGTATGAAATGATATAAAATTCTAGAAAAGGCAAATTAATTGCCAGAGTCTGCAGTGGGAAAAGAGTGAATGCAAAAGGACACAAAGAAATTTGGAGGAGGAAAGGTGAATAAAAGTCCATATCTTGATTGGGGTGGTGGTTATATCATTGAATATATACATTTCTAAAAAATCATTTAACTACAATTAAAATAGTTGAATTTTATACTATATAAATTATATCTCAATAAAGCTGATCTTTCAAAATTATGAACATTAGCTCTGGCCAGGTAGTTCAGTTGATTAGAGCATAGTTCCATCACACCAAGATTTCGGTTCAATCCCGTTAGGGCACATACAAGACTCAACCAATGAATGCATAAATAAGTGGAACAACAAACTGATCTCCTTCTCTCTTTCTCTTTCTCTCCTTCCCTCCCTTCCTTCCTCTATCTCTAAAAGTCAATCAATAAAAGTTATAAGCATCATTAATTCCCACTTTGATATTGCTCGGAAGGGACAGGTGCCAGGAGAGCATTTAATATAGAATCCTGAAATCTCAGAAGGCTTTCCTGAGGAAGTGAAGTCTGAGGTACTAAGGAGGCCCATTCATGAGCAGGTGAAGAAGGAAGAGATGGGGCAGAGGGAAAGGTGTGTGCAAAGGCCTTGAGGCTTGAATCCCTTCCACCACAGCCTTCCCGATAGAAACCCCAGTTCTGCTTGCTGAACCTTCACAACCATGGGTAGTTCACTGCTGCAATTATTGTAATTAATAATCATGGCCGCTATTCATTGAGGACTTGTTATGTCTTTAACTTCATACTGGGCAATTATTTCTCATAACATTTACTCTTCAAAAATTGTACCCACAAGGTAGATTCAATTAGTATTCCCTCTTTATGGACAATAATGTCAAGGTTTAGGGAAATGCAGTACTTTGTTGGTGTCTACACAGCTAGCAAGTAGCAGAGCCAGAATGCAAATTCGGGTTTTTGGAACTCCAGCTGAAGTTCCTAGACACTACCCTATGCAACTTTAGTTAGACACATCACTGGCTCTCCCCTCACTACCTTTCCCAACTCTTCTTCATGCAACATAGTCTCAACCCCTTCATTGCCCAATATCTGTAAACATACTAGTTTGAACACCTACTATCATATAAACCAGATGGGCCCCTCTTGACATGCCATGTAATCTCTGCTCTCCTGATATGTCTAGTCTGGAGAAGATGAACATTGATACAATAATCATAGGTAAATGAATACTTTTTAAGGTTTGATGAAATATGAAGAAAAGACATAGTTTGGGAGCTATGACAGGTAGAACTGGGACATCTAATCCAACCTGGGCCTCTGGAAGGCTACCCTGGAGAAGTGAAGTTTGAATTGAGATGTGAAGAACCAGGAATTATTTGGTTGAAGAGAGAGGTTTAAGATGTATGTAACCTTAAGGTACGAAGTCTTATAAGTCGGGCTGATGTGGTTCAGTGGTTGAGCATCAACCTATAAACCAGGAGGTCACATTCAATTCCCCATCAGAGCACATGCCCAGACTGTGGGCTCGATGCCCAGTGCAGGGATGCAAGAGATAAGCCCATCAATGATTCTCTCTCATCACTGATGTTTCTCTCTCTCTCCTTCCTCTCTGAAGTCAATAAAAATATATTTTTAAAAATTGCCAGAGGTAGGCTAAAATTTTGATTCTGAGCTGCCTAGTGGCCTGAGCAAGGAGGGAAAAGGGCAGTCATGAGCTTTATGGTGTGCAGAAGAGAAACCACCAACAACTCAGATACATACAGCCTTTCAGGGTATTGAGGTGGGGCATTTTCCCCAATCCTCACACAAAAGAGACCATGGTACACAGGACTCTGACCAGCATCTGGATGTGAGGCCGCTCATGCATTGCTTACCCCAGTTAGGCCCAGTTCAGGGGCAAGAATGGACCTGAGAGGGAAGCAATAGGCGAGAACTAACATCTCTGTTCTCCTAGACCCGTGGTTGGCAAATTGCGGCTCAAGAGCCACATGTGGCTCTTTGGCCCCTTGAGTGTGGCTCTTCCACAAAATACCACGGCCTGGGTGAGTCTATTTTGAAAAAGTGACGTTAAAAGAAGCTTAAGTTTAAAAAATTTGGCTCTCAAAAGAAATTTCGATCACTGCACTGTTGATATTTGGCTCTGTTGACTGAGTTTGCCAACCACTATCCTAGACATCTCTCTACCTGAAATGATGCTAGAGGCCAAGAGAGATGTTTCTTCCCTACAGGGGATGAAGAAACTGGGAAAACACCAACTGTAATTCACCATCCAGCCCTGGAAGCCAGTGTAACATTGATGTTGGCCAAAACGGAGCTGTAATTAATGGGGAGACTGTGAAGGGAATGAGCATTACAGAGCCATCCCCAGCTGTGGGGCTTCACTTGGCTTACCCTCCACTGACTCACTGGCTTATGAGTAATCCTCCCAAGCCTGATTTAGAGGACTTACTCACCCTTCAGAGAAAGACTCTAATGCAATAAAGCAAATGTCAGCAAGTGGGATGCGGCGGAGCACATCACCCCAGCCTGCACCCAGCTTCCCACTCCCTGGCCCTCCCAGCCTGAGGCCCCTGCTACCACTCAGCACCTGGACAGTCCCAAACATGGGGCAGGCTTCTGGAAAGACATATGGGGAGCAAGGCCTCAAGTCAAGCCTCTGAGATGAGATCCTTAGAGCTGGGCTACCTGGGCTTGGCCACCATCTTGGTATTTGCCAACATAGTGCCTGTGGGAGAGCAAGAGGCCTCATTGGGCTTTCCAGAATCTAGGGATAGATATGGTTGGAATCCCCACATCAGGCACCAGCTTACTGGGATAGCATAAATTCCAGCCAGTCCTTGGTTCCCTCTGATTAGGAAATAGGCCCCAAAGAGTTGGCATAGCCAGCAGTGGGGAGACATCTGTAATACAGAGGAAATTACTCAGAAGGCAAGTCAACACAGCCTTGGGTTTAAACCCACTCCTGAGTCAACTACCTGGAAGAATTGGTTCCAAGGGTTAAAAAGGGGGAGGCAGGCACTTACGGTGCCTAGTTGGCTTCTCTATTCTTGGCCATTTTCCTAACCTTTTCTGAGTCTGCCATGTGCCAGGCACTGGAAGGAGGAGGCTGACTACAAGCTTGGCGCTCTGGTTGGCTGAAATCCAGGGTCTTAAGCTTTAAGAGACTTTTGGGATCATCTGGTTCAGTTTGCTCATTTTATAGGTGAAGAATCTGAGGTACAAGTCAAATTCCTTCCCTGGGCTCATGGAAACGAAAAGCCCAGAGTGAGTGGACGTGCTGATAATCTCACCGTGTGGCATGCACCCAACGACTTCTCTTGTGAGTTTAGGGAAGCCTCTCAAATGGAAAGCACCATATTCTGTATTATTATGATCACTAGCTCGTGAGCAGATGCACAGTCTCAGGTCTACAGCTACAATCTACCGCCATCACCTTCAAGTTTCTTCGGAAATCAACCCAGAGAGGCAGGCTCGTGGCCCCCTAATTGTATTTATTTTCTTACCCCAATTTGTCAACACAGAGAAGTTTTTTGGTGTTTTTTCTTTAATGTTTTTATTTAACACTATAAAAAAACGAAGACAAGGATGACCAATAACATACTGCTTTTCTTCACATTTGTATGGATTTTAGGAAATTATTGCCTTTTCCCCTGGAGAAGTAACCTAGACAAAATATAAAGTAGTACCACACTATGAAATCTACAAATCCTAGAAGTCAACATCTTGAAGACCATCTCCAGGGGTGTGTGTGTGTGTGGGGGGAAACAAGTGTCACAAGAGATGAGACAAGCACATAGAAGGACAGCAAGCTGGGGAAAAGACCGTGTCAATGACACTGACCTAGACACTAGGTACCCTTTTCTCCTGGCACCCATGCCACCACCTCAAATGGGTGATTTTTGGGTCAATGGTCTAAGGAACTCTCTTCAAAATGACACAAGAGTTGCTTTGAGTAGAGGTGTAACAAGAAAGGTTCAAGTATGAGTTAAGAGTCATGCCAAAGTCCAAAGTCAGGGAAGTACCCACAGTGGAAAGGCAACTCAGAAGTGTCAACATCTCGCTACTTCAACAAACTGCCTCTGTGGGACCCAAGAGGGAATCTCAAGAAGAGATGAGGGTTCAAATCAGCATATACATATATATGGGGTCCCTACAAACCCTACAGGGTTCCTTTCCTGACTAGATGATCAGCTTATTCCCTGAAGCGACAGAGACAGACGTGGAGACTGCCAAAGTTCAAAAAGTTAGGGTGGAAATTGTGCTTCCTTCAGAATTAATTGGCTTCTTGACTGCCTTTTCTCCGGGTCTAGCAGCTGCTTTCTCCCACGTTGCTGCAGGTTGTTTATTGCCTTACGCTTGAAATGAAAAGGCGAACGTTGAGGTGCCAGGACTGGGCAGTCCTGAGAGGGCAGGGGGGTCTGGAAGTACAGTAGTCAGCACAAGCTGTGCTTCTCATAATGGCTTGGCCTTCCTTCGGTCCCGAGAACCAACCCCGAGGTCAGTCTGAAGTTCGTTTGCAAGCCTGGGGACCCTTCGCTATCCCACCAGAACGGCGGGACAGAGGGGGGTCTTCAGTATTGCACAGGTATGAAATGTCCACCAGTTTAAAAAGCAAAAATCACAGTTGTTCTTGGGGCTGTGCGGGTTCCCCCATCCAGTGTTAGCAGGATGTGGCTGTGGCCATGGAGCTCCTGCTGAGCTCTGAGACCGTCGAGTGGGCGGGCAATGGCGCCAGCACCGAGGTAGGGAATGCATAGTAGGAACCCTGCACATCAGGGTTCAGTGTCTGCAAATGGGCTCTGAAGGACGAGCTGGCCGCCTCCCCTTGGCAGGAGGGGGCCTGGGGGGTGGGCGTGGAAGGCAGGATCTCAGACTCATACTGCAGGAGCTGGCCCATGAAGCCAAAGTTGGGTGAGACCACGCTCCTCCTCTGCTTGATGTAATCGAAGGCGTCCTTTAGGCGAAACTGCCTGGTCTTCATGAGGTAAGCCATGCAGATGGTGGGTGAGCGGGAGATCCCAGCCTCACAGTGCACCAGGACCTTGCCTCCCTTTTCCCTGACACAGTCTGGAAGGAAGAAAAGACAGTGGGATTGAGTTGGGATTAGAACCCAAAGGCAATGCCAAACACAAGAATTAAACACAGAAGTGACCTAGTTCTTAAACTATTGTGACTGTGCAACAGCCATGGCCCTACACCAGACTCCTGCCTGTCTGTAATCCCCACTGGTGAGGACAGAGCTTCTGGGGCCCCACCAGTGTCTTTCCCCATGTAGGACCTTTCCAATCCTTAAGAGCTGCTTCCCAATGCTCTTAACATATTTGCAGATTCTACCACTGAACGTTCTAGACCTGGAGTAACCCCTTCCTGGGGGTGGCACTCTAACATGGATGGGTTTCAAGAGGGCATTGGAAAAGCCTTGAAATTGCAACCAATTTTAATCAGGTATGCACATTTTTATTTTTTATTTTTTTTCCCCTGAGAGGGTCCCAGGTTCAAAGACTTAGAGAAGCAATTCCTGCCTCTCAAGGCCTGAGTGTAATGGTGATGACCTAGTCCCCCATCTTGGCAGATGCCTTCTGGCCTCCGGGCATCCTGTCTGGCTATGCCAGGGCAGGATGCTTGGTTCAGCTCCCAGGGGTCCCACTACCAAACATACAATAGATAGTGCAGAGCCACTATTGATAGCCCTGGCTAAGCGATGCTTACTAGATGGATATAAATGACTTTTTGCAAACTCCATCTTGCACAACAAAGGGAGGCACTGCTCTAAAGCTACCACCATCAGATTTCTTTAGCTCAATATGACAAAAGGGAGGGTAGGGTGTCCTCCTTTTCTGTTCCACTCCTGCCCTCAAAAGATCTACAACTGTTAAAAACGGGAAGGGGTACACCTTAACCGGTTTGGCTCAGTGGATGGAGCATTGGCCTGTGAACTGGAGGGTTTCAAGTTCGATTCCGGTCAAGGGCATGTACCTTGGTTGCAGCCACATCCCCAGGAGGGGGTGTGCAGGAGGCAGCTAATTGGAGTTTGTCTCTCATCGATGTTTAAAATTCTCTATCCCTTTCCCTATCTGTAAAAAAGCAATAAAATATATATATATTTTTTAAAATGAGAAGGGGTAAAAGATTAAACATAAATACACATTAAATAAAAACCATTAAAAATATAGTCTTTCTGAGTCCCTCTCTTGCTACTAAAAAAACAATTACATCACTGGAAGTTAGATGTACGTGGCACTGTGTAAAAGCTGTGTGCAAAAATATTTAACATTTTGAAGGGCAAATAATAAAAATCATCCACCTCCCTCCTCAAATTCAAGATTTTGCAAATGAATCTGCAAGATCTGAAAGATAAATTTCTGAGGAGTCAAAGAGGAAGCCTGGAGTTTCCCCATCTAAGAACACCCCCGCTTGTAGCTCATTAGAGGTGCCCCCAATTCAGTCTCTGACTCAAAAAGGAAAAAGCACTGCACATTAGTTCAAAGGGGACCCCAAGTCCCTAGGATCATAGGGCCGTGACTCTCAATTTCCTTTGCTCCTTTGTTGGCCTCCTTGCAGTCTAGTTTTTACTTGGCCCAATACCACATCCAAAAAAAGCAGAGGATCCCACTCTACCCCTCGGGGCTTGTCTTCCACATGGCACTTCTGCAGCATTCCCCTTGGATGGGGTCAGGGCATGGCTCAGCCTCAGTCCCTCCTTCCACGAGCAGGGCTAGGAGACTGGGGACAAGCATCCTGTGCTTTCGTAACGTTGTGGGTGTGTATGTTTGTGTACACAAACAGACACCACACACACCCAGGATGGGGAGGGAGCCTTCTGAGAAACGGATGGGGGCGGATTTCATGACCTCACTGAGTAGCTATCAGGCCGAGGAGGGCAAGGCATTCCCAGGGGGAGCAGAACAAGTCAAGGCTTTCCCACCCTGAGCCCACCATTCAGGCTGCCTCTCTGAGACTGCAAAGGAACCAGCTCAGCCGAGCCGCTCAGGGGACAGGCTTAGCCTTTGGCCTCTGGTCCGTTTCTGGATGGTTTCCCATGAAGCGGAAATCATGTGTGATGAGTAGAGGGGACCATCATGTGGCTGCGGGGGGGCCCTTTAACTGCTACCTACACTAAGTCATTACTGCTGTGCCTGACACCTGCCCCCCCCCCCCCCCCCCCCCCCCCCGCCAAGATCCTTCCAAACAAGACACAGGAAAATCACATCTCGGATGCAATAGCTATGCGAGCTCAAGGAAAAGGACCCTGGAAGCTAGAAGGAAAGACCACAAGGTTGGAGAGTGGGGCTTGCAAACTTGAGACAGAAAAAAAAGTCAACCCAGCCTCAAGGGAGGAGGAATGGGTGTAAGAGATGTCAAATGGGAGAACAATCAGGCTATATAGAGGAGCTGGAAACCCAAGGCCCAAGGGAACAGAGGCTACCAGGCCTACACAGCAGAGAAAATGGTAACTGACTCACAGAACAGAGAAAAAGACGCAAAAGATGCCAACTTTTCTGCGCACAAAGCATGGAGAGTTTGAGTCAAGTGCTATCTTTAATCCAAAATTAGCTGTGAATGCAAAACAAATTGCCCCCCAAAGCTTGTTAGAAACTGTGGAAAGCTGCCAGGGCCCTTGGGGCTTAGTGCGTAAGTAGTGCTCTCTCCATCCTTCTGTCTGCATTTAAAAATATCCCAACCTGCGTAGAAGCACAGCGAGGATGACTCTTTCTCTCCGCTGCTTCCCTTGCGTGGAGATTTCGCACGGACACACTGTGCTTCCCGCCCAGCTAGAAACCATACCGAGGGCGGCAGTTGAACACTGCCATAAAATTATATTCATTTATCGTGCAAATTAAAGCTCCTATTAATAGCAACTCAAATCTTCCCCTCTGCCTTTCGGGGTGGCTGTCTCTTTCTCGGCTCCGACCCTTGGTGGCTGCATATAGAAGAGATGTTTCTTCTCTGTGAAGGTAGCCGCCCTCATCAGTACATCAAATCCAAGAACATATTATGTCCCTAACAAGGCGCCCAGAACAGCGGAGGGGGAGTGGCTGGACCTACCAATGAAGTCTATTGCTTCTTGAAAGTGGGAGCTAATGTCAGCCGTGTGGCTGTCTTCCACGGGGATCCACTTGTAGTGTAGGTGGCTCGTGCAGGCCTCGGAGGTCCGCCGGGAGACATTCAGCAGGGCCGTGATGTGCAGGTTGGCGAGGAACTCGCACTTGGATGCGTGGTAGGCACTTCCAAGGTAGAGGAACGGGAGGATTTCAACTGGGCCGCCCTGGAAGCAGGGGCAAAGGACAAGCAGGAAATATTGGATTAGCCTGCTCACCTGGGAGAGGAAACAAAACCACCCTGACCTATTTGTTTTGAGGAGGGAGGTTCCCTTCCTGGTTTCCAGGTAGAGAAGAGCGTTCAGAGCCAAGGCTGGTTCAACCAAGAGTGTGGGTGAAGCCTCCGTCCTGGCAGACTCTCTACCCTACATTACTGCTGGTGACTCAGTGACAGCAAAGCCTACGTGGCGAAGATTTTCGTTTTCTTACATGCAGTGAGGAGGGAGGAGGTGCCGGCAGCCTTCCTGTGCTGAGGAGGATGAGAAGCAGTGGGTGTGAGTAGGGGGGAATGGAGATACATGTGTTGAAGGTCTAGCAGACCTGAGAGTAAGCCTTTCAACTTGGGGAGCAGCCTGGTTTCTTTCTAGATTAAAATGGAAAAGTGTTCCATCGGTGAGCTCTCCCCCTCCCCTTACAGTCCTAACATGTTATATAATGTATTTCATCAAACCGAGGACACTGTTTTGTTTTATTTTTTAATTAAATTTTTTGGGATGACATTGGTTCACAGGATCATACAGGTTTCAGGTGCAGATTTTTCTGTTACAAGATCTGTATATTGGCACTGTGTGCTCACCACCCAAAGTCAAATTATCTCTGTCACCATATCTTAGGCCCCCTTCACCACTACCACCACCACCACCAGCACCCGCTAGGACACTGCTGATCATAAGATGTATCAGATTTCAGAGTTGCTAAATTCGTTCCCTGGCCCTCTAAAAAGTTGCTTCTTAGAAGTGAAAATAGTCACTGTCTACCCAGAATCCTCAGACAAAGAAAAGGTATGAAGCCACGAGCATAGGGGTTTCCCCCACCTCTCTCATCTTCATGTGGAGCAGAAGGTTTTGGTGAGAGATGCTTCTGTCCTCTTTCTTTTGAAAGACCACCCACAGGAAGACTCCACTGGAACCAGAGATCACCTACCTACCCCCGAGGCAAAGCTAAAAAGAACTCCTATCTGGCTAGACTCTGGCAGTCTTAACATTTCCAGGTCTCCCATCTCTTGTCTTCCTTTTGCTGCTGTTGGCAGCTGCTGGCTCAGGGGCATCCCACCTGAGCTGTAGGACCCATTCGTGCACCCATCCACAGCTGGGAGGGACAAAGATTTGTGCTGAATATTTATGTTTAATGGCCAGCTTCCTGGGTGCATAATACTCTCAGTGTATAAACAAACAAACAAAAGTCAGTGGTAGCTGGAACAATGGGATTCCCTGGAGATTTAGAGAGAAAAAACAATGGGCTGGAGGGACAGTGGCTGTATCTTTGGGAGGCTTTTCCACATCATCCATCCGCTTCCTGTGTTTCCATTTCCTGTGCTGGAACAAGAGAAGCATGGAAACTCTGCCAGACCCATACTCGGAAAAGGAGCATGGGACAAGGGCCAGCAGCAGGCAATGCTCACACTACCCTGCATCTGGTATTTGCCTTGTCTTTCCTGAGAAGTCAAGTGTTGTTTAGGCAAAAACCAGTTTGGCCACTTGGAAGAAAGTTTTAGAGCAGTGATTTTTCAACTGGCGTGGCACAAGAATTTTTATAACATGCCATACCTGTCTATTTAGTCAGGGGAACTGACCTGTTTTCCCTTAGATTGTCAAATAAAAATTGACAACAGCCAACACAATAGCCGTCTGGTGTGCACACCCTGTCTTGAACCATAACTATATAGGCCATATTGCATCATGTTGGTCACAGTGAATAATAAGGTTGCATCTGATTGGTTAATTCTTGGTACCAGAAACCCTTATAGGCACCTGATTTTTTTAAAAAAAGTCATTTTGGAGCACACACACAAAAAAAGAAAAAAAAAGTAGGCAATTACATTATTATTATTTTGTATATCAATCAAAATTATACCTATGTTTTTTTTTGTCAGATCAGCAAAAAAATATATTCTTTGGTGTGCCACAGAATTTGATTAATTTATTTAATGCCATGAGATGAAAAAGGTTGAAAATCATTGTTACAGAGGATTTTGCAAAAGGTATTAGTAATAATGACTCTTTTTATTAGGACTTATTGTGCCCCCTCTCCCCCTGGGGGGCTTAACACTTTAATCAGATGTACCTGTAGTCTCATCTTCACTTTAGTGCCTAGAAAACGCTGACAACCAGGCCCGGGATCCTATCCAATTTCTTTTGGAGCTTAGCCTAACACACCCCTGAAACTGTTTCTTTTGTTTTCTGAATCTTGTTTAGAATCAAGAGGAAGGAGCCTAGGGCCTACAGAAACCCCAAAGGTTAACAGGGCCCCGCCTGGCTTCTAGGAAGCAATGCTAGGGGGTTCCCCAGAGGAACCTTGAGACACAGCAGGGCCTCCCCAGTCCTCGCCGGGCCAAAGGTCTGTGGCCCTTTTACAACATCCTGCCAATTCTTGTTTCTCTTTCATTTTCTGAGAAACAAGGATAAAAAAACACAACCCAAACAACAAACAAAAATAGAAATCTGGCTAAGCCGGATGCCCTTGGCTTGTAAGCTGAGGGTTCATTACAGAGTGTATTTTTGATAAAGGAAAACAAACAAAATAAAAACCTTGGCACCACACCAAGCCAATAGGCTTCCTGACCAAGGATCCCATCTGAGGAAAGGGCACCTGGCTTTACTTGGAGTTGATCCCCATGGCAAAGCTCTGCTCATGGCAGGCAGCCGGCAGGTTAGGAAGGCGGCATTTGAAGTCTTCCTTTTTATGGTTTTGGATACATTCCTAATTGGGAGGGGGGAGGTTTTTGAAAAGACCTTCCGCCAAATCAAGAGGGCCCTTTTCCAGAAGATGTGTGGAAAACAGAACAGGGCCCTGAAAACAACTAGAAAAGGGAGTTAAGAGAAGGGGATTCTGGGTCTAGGCTGCCATGGACCCAGCTGCAGGATTTTGGCAAATCCATTACACCTCACCAGCCATGCGAGTTTCTCCCTCTGTAAAATTGGGAAGGTGGGTTTTGATCTCTGGTGTCTGCCAGATTTGGGTCCTTGCCTCCCTTTTCCTCACTCTCCTCTCCCTTCTACTTTATGCTTCCTTTACTGAGTTGTCACCAAGTCCAATTTTTGAAGGAAAAAGAGAACCCGCACATTTATAGAAACACGCAATCCTCTAGGATGCCTTGATCTCATCTGGTTCCAGAATTTGATGGAAATATAAGCATCAAAAACCCTTAGATGAGCCTGCTTGCTCAGCCATGCAAACTGCGGTTTCACTACAACCCTCCTCCTCCTACTTCCCTCCACTCCCACCTCATTCAGTTAAAATACCAGGAAGACACACCTTGACAGGTACTAGCTGGGCTGGTGTGCAGAAACTGCAGGGCACGGACAATTACAAAGAAGAACAACTCAGGCGGCCTGAAAGCCAGCTCTGAAGCATCTTCGGGGAAACCTAAGCCAGTCTTTGGAAGCTCTCTCTGCACCTCCCAGGCCAACTAATAACAATACACTGTTCACTTCCTCTTTTCTCCAGAAACTGTCAAGCATCCTGTGGCTCGTTTGCTCTCGTCAGCTTGTTTGCTGGAAGGAAGCCCGTTTACTCTTGGATGGAAACTCAAGTTGGCAAGCACCAGAGGCTCTCAAAGCTAGAGGGCTCTGCCAAAACCCTGATCCGCACAACAAGCAGCCAGGGCCGCCGAGCAGGGAGAGGAAGAGTCAGGGTGCCGAGGAAGGAACGGCAGCCAGGAGCCGCGACAGCACTTCCACTCCACCTACCTGGTCATAGGCTGGCCTGTAGCTGATGCTGAGCACTGGCTTCCCACACTGGCTGATGAGCGCTCTCTCAGCCTCCATCTTCTCTTGGGAGATGGGTTCGACATCCACGCAACAATCAGGATATTCCGAGTAGAAGGTCTCATATCCCCCTACGAGAAAAAAAAAAAAAAACAAGACAAATGGACATAAGCATTGATTTCTCACTGTCAGAAAATGCCCACAATGAATCAATACCCCGAGTGTGGAATAGTGAAAAATAGTAGGCTGCCCTAGCTGGTTTGGCTCAGTGAAGAAGGCGTGGCCTTTGGACCAAAGGGTCTCGGGTTTTTTATTCCGGTCAAGGGCACGTACCTCGGTTGTAGATTCCTCTCTGGCCCGGGCAGGGCGAGTGCAGGAGACAACCAATCTCTCTCACATCGATGTTTCTCTCTGTCTTTCCCTCTTACTTCCACTCTCCCTAAAAATCAATGGAAAAATATCCTTGGATGAGGATTAATAAAAAAAATTTTTTAAATAAGCTAATATTGATTTTGGTCACATTAAAAAAAATGAGCCAAACCAACTAATAGCTTTATAGTATATAAATGGGATGTACACACACACACACACTTCTAAAAAGCTATAGGTCAGAGAGGCAATGATTAACTTTTTGTGTCTATCAGAAGCAGCTTAAACTGTGAAAGGAAATATATCCAACATCTGGAAAATATTAACCAAATCCCTCCAGAAAACCAAAGCTATTTTCTCTCTTGTTTATCTAAAATGCAGGTGTGATTATGCAGAATTTCATTAATTTTCAAGAAAGAGACTCCAAAACTGGTCTGTTTCTTCCCCAGCTCATGAGCTCTAAACCGGAGTAGAGAGGAAACCCCTCCATGCATGAGGGAATGGGGGCTAATAAGGGGTTTAAACGCAGGGCAATAAAACAGCCCTGGCCTTTCTCACTCCTAAAGTGCTGAGAACACTGCTGAGAATTCTCCCCATAGAACCAATTTGGAGTAATCAATCTAGGCTATTACCTTCCAAACCAAACTGCAGGAATGAGCCCTTCTGAACTTAAATCTCAGCCCCCATAAATAAAACTGTCCCCCGGATTAACACCTACCTCCCTTTATATTTCCTCATTACCCTTCCCTCCTCAACTTTCTGTTCCCCGAATGCCCTCAAACTACTGTACTGACAGGTACGATTCTGTAAGCATTCTTAATATTACTTTTAAAACTCTCCAAATGGGTTGCTTCCAGTAAAAAAGGTACCTCTAACCAAGTCACAGAACTGTGAGTGTATACATACAGATAAGGCTTTTCAGGCCCAGTATACTCAGTGGGGAAGAGCCGCTGGAAGTCTCAGAATGCCGGAGGTTGGTAGGTGAGCGGGCCAGCCTTGCTTGGGGAAGCACTTTGCTTCCCGTCCAGAGGGACCTAAGGCAATTCCTAAATCCTCCAAAAAAAACAGCTTCTGCCATTTTCTGACCCAGAGAATTCACTTGGGGGTCAAATCATCCATTAAAAATATGCATCCTGAGGCCACGTGCTTTCCAAAAGCCTCCCTTTTTCTCCTGACTTTCCCTATTATGAGAGACCCCCGGTGGAGCACATGGTGGCTTTTGAAAACCCCCGCGGCAGACGAATGGTTAATGGATTACATGGCCATCTCCAGCTCCCTCCCAGAAGCTGCAGCCAATTCCTCGAATGAGTCATCTTGCCATTACTGCTTCCTCTCAGCTAGCTGGAACTGCCCTGGCCCCCAATCTCCCCTGTAGTCACCTCAACAAATCGCCATTGGGTCGCCCCAGATGAGCTTCTGGTCCTCCACAATGACCACGTTCCTGGTCATGAAGACAGGAGGCCGCGCTGGAGGGGGACAGAGGCAGGTATTCCTGGCATGGCGTAACCTTTCCCCCAACTCTAGTCCCTGGCCCCCTTCTTTCCTAGGAGGCAGGGAGAGAGGCCAGGCTTACACCAACACAAAGCTTCCTTGGAAGAGGAAGTTAGTAAATCACTTCCTGTGCCTGTGCCTCAACATTTTGGGTTCCGGGAAACAAACTAAGTGATCAGAGATGGGAATCTGGATTCAGAGTGGCCCAGGCCCTCCCAAACTTCAGGACCGGAGGCTTGGGAAAGAGAGGCAAGCCTCAGGCCACCCATCTCCCGGCTTTAAATAGAGCACTTAAGAGTTGGCTGCCAGGAGGAACCAAAGGAGGTGCGGGGTGTAGGCTGGGCCCTGTCTGCCTGTTGACAAAACAAGACAGGCAGACAATGAGTCTCAGTGCTGGGGGACAGATAACACAGGGCCCTGCCCCCTGGAGGGGGGAGGAGGGGGTCAGGAGGAGTCCTCCAGATTAGCCGGTCTGTCTGTCACCCACTCCCATCTGAGGCGGGGAGAAACAGAACATTCCTCTCTGGTGCCTCACTTGAGATCCTTGGCAGTTCTTTTGGCCGCTCCGACTCTCTTCAGAGTGATCCTGTGTTCGATCACGCTCACACTGCCAGGGGAGCAGAGCCAAGTACAATGGACACTGGATATAAATATGCACTGACAAGGCCATTTGGTCCTCAGCTCATGACTGAATGTAGTTTTTTTTTAGGGGTTGGGGGAGATGAAGGGTGCCAATAAAGGTGGGAGCTGTCCGGCCAAAGACACTATCCCCCCCTAGATCTGAGATGCCACTAGATTAAACCTGAACTCATAGATGGGCATGAGTTAGGGTAAGGAAATAAACTTTTTCTTTGGCAACAGCGTAAGCTTTACTAGTGTCATAAGGATCAAGCATTTTACTGAAATTCAAAATGCGCATAACTTTTGACCTCCCAAACCTCCAAATTTACTGATGGTGCTCATGCAGAAGCATCTGGATAAAAGTATACTCTACTACACTGTTTCAAATAATGCGGCTAGTAGCAACCTATGGGCTGTCACCAAGGGACTGGTTAAAAAAAGTGAACCAGACATGAATGCTCTGATACGATCAAGTCTCCCGAGATCTAGTCGGGTGAAAGAGGGACAGGAAATATACAAAATCATCATATTTTTAAAAGAAACTGGTGCAGCCCTAACCAGTTTGGCTCAGTGGATGGAGCTTAGTCGGCTGGGGACTCAAGGGTCCCAGATTGATTCTGGTCAAGGGTATATGACTGGATTGTGGGCTCAGACCAACATGCAGGAGGCAACCAATAAATGATTCCTTCTCATCATGGATGTTTCTATCTCTCTCTTCCTCTCATTTCCTCTCTGAAATAAATAAAAATATATTTTTTTTAAAAAAAGAAACTGGTACAAAATTAACTTTAAGGATGAACAATAGTTGATGGTCATCTCTGGGAGTGGAGGGTGTCTGAAGACCCACTGTTCATTGCACAGCCTTCATGCAGTTCCAAGTTTTACTTATGTTACGTTCATTAAATTTTTTTAAAAAAAACACTCATTTTCTTGGGATGTCACAGAGCTGTCTACTTCCTGTGGCAATAACCCCTAAACTGTCAGCATGGCCTCCTGGAGAGGGACACGGAGGGCAGAGATGGGACCAGAAAGGGTTTCCTGGAAACTATCTTTCATGCTAATGGAGAGGTGGAAGCTTTTCCTGCAGTCTCTGCTAAGAACAAAAGACAAAAGCATCAGGAAGAGAAATCAGGAGCCATGTGTGAAACCTTTGCAATCTTTGGAGGGCTTCCCTCCATCATGGAGGGGATTGTGGGGGTGGGACTGAAGCTGGGAAAGGAAGATTATCATCACCTGCCTTTGCCATCTCCCTGGGAACCAACAGGGGGGGGGGGGGGAGCACGGTCTACCAGAGGTGCCAATAAAGGTGGGAGCTGTCCGGCCTCAGGAATCTCCTGGCCTGGAGGTGTGTGAAATTCCCCAAATTGCAAGGTTTTAAAAGCCAGGCCCTCACTCTCCGCTCATTGCACGGGCGTTCTGAACCACACATCACTGTTCCATCTCAAGGCATCAGGGTTGGCAGGGCTTCCACACACTGGAGGTTACAAAGGACTCAAATACAAGGCATGAGGGAGCCATCATAGAAAATGAGCCAGAAATGGAGCTCTGGCGTTTAGCTAATCACCCACCCACCACCGTGTAAGTCAAAGTCACCTCCCCAGCAGGTGTAACGGGCAGAGGGCAGACTGGTGCCACCGCCTCTGGGGGTCCCAAAACCAAAAGACAACAGAATCCCCTCCGCCGTCAACCCTCGGCACCTCTCCCCGGTCCTGGCTCTCCAGCCACCCCCGCGTGGCTCGGGACTCAGGACGATCCCAAGCCAGGGAGGGAGGAGGTGAAAAGAGTGGGAAGGCTGTTAACTCCACATGGAACTAGAGGAAGGAGGAGTGGGAGGGGAAAGGGGAAGGCCGGAGGAAAACAATAAAAAAGCCATAAAACGAAAAAGGAAAGGAAGGGGAGGGACTCGCCCCCGGGGTCAAAAAGGCAAAGAGGGGTCGCGGCAGACCCAGCCTCCAGGATGTGAATTCTCCAGGCAGGAGGCATGAGGACTGGAGGACCCCGTGGCGCCACGCTCCTGGGGAGGGAGAGGAGGGGGTCGCGACCTGCTGATTCCGTCCGATACGTCTATCAGGAAGGCTCGGCGCCCGGGCCCCAGCGAGACCGGCAGAACCCGGGCCGCCAGCCTCCCTCCCCCCCAAAAAAAAACCTGCCAAGCAGCAGCGCCCCCCGACTGCGTACCCACCTCGCCCACCGGGGCGGCCAAGCGGCCGGGCGCTTTCGAGGAACGCGGGTGGGGAGGGTGGGGGGCGCCACCACGGGCACTGCCCTCCCGGGCGCACGTGGGTGCAGACTCGGGCAAGTGGAGGCTCCCGCGTCCCCGGGCCACGGAGGGCGCCAGGAGGGGACCCCGGAGGGGGAAAGGGGACCCCGGAGGGGCGGGAGGGGGGGAAAGAGGACGGAGCCCAGGCCGCCCCGGCGCGCTCACCTTTGAGGAAGTAGACCCGCGGGCCGGCAGGCAGGCAGGCGAGCAGCGAGGTGAGCACGACGCGCGCGGCGCTCTCCTCGCGCAGCTTCTGCCAGTGGCGGCTGCCCTGGTCCAGCACCACCACGGCCGCCACGCCGCCGCCGCCCTCCTGCAGCAGCCGCGCGCGGGCCGCCTCGTCGGGCAGCACGTAGCGCGCCGACACGGCGCCGCCGCGCGCCCGCCGCAGCACCACCGAGTTGAGGTTGACGTTGAGGGAGCCGCGCACGCTGGAGGCGGCGAAGGCCAGGTAGGGCCGGCAGTCCAGCACCACGCAGCGCGCCGCCGCCTCCTTGCGCAGCATCTTGCGCAGCTGGCGCCCGTCGAGCGCCGTGACCTTCATGGCGCCGCCCGGCGGCCCCGCGCCGCGCAGGTGCCCACGGCCAGGGTTGCCCGCCGGCGAGACACAGGAGGGCTGCGGCCGGCCTACCGAGCCTGGAGCCTGGAGCCGCAGCCGGAACGGACGCGCTCAACTCTTTTCTTTCCCGCCCCGCACGCTCGGCGCCCGGCCCGGCCACTCGCCGCCCCAGAAGCCGGGGATTCCGCCGGCGGCGCCGCGTCTTAAGTGGAGCGCGAGGCCGGTGACGTGGCTGCCCATATAAGGCCGGAGAGGGGGCTTGTCCCGCCCCCTCATGCCGTGGCCACGCCCCCGGGGGCGGGGCGTGCGGGGAGGGCGCCCGCGGTTAGTCAGCCCCGGGAAAGAGGAAGTGGGAGGCTCCGCCCCGGCGCTCGCCGCGGCTGTGCGCCCGGAGACTCACTCGCGCATCACCCGGGCGGCCGGGAGGGGGGGGTGTCAGGAACGCACTGGGCCGGGGTGACCCACGCTGTGCGGGAAGAGGAGGAAGCGGAGGAGGCCGGGCCGGCGGCGTCGCGAACACGAATTCTCAGTTTCATAGACGTAGGTTAGGCACCTGCAGGGGGCCGTGCCGGGGAGGGGGCGGGGGAGAAGGGGCGCTGCGCTGGGCAGGGCCCCAGATGAAGCAGAAATGAATTCTGAGCCTCCCAGCCTTTACGCGAGAAACGAGATCATTGTGGGATGTGCTTCAAGGAAGGGTGGTTTGTAGATGAGTTGAGATCGGGCTTGTATTGGTTGGTAGGTGAAGCTGGGTAATGGGAACCTGGGGTTTGTTACAGTTCTGCACTTTGTTGTCTGTAATTTTCCATAATAAAAGTACTTATAAGTAAAAAATGGAGAAAGAGGAGCCAGCAATCAATCTTTCCAAATGGATTCTGTCTGCCCGCAAAGGATTGACAGTTCTTTTCTCTGTCACATTCCAATAATAATTAAGAATAATTGTTTGTTTTTTGAGGAGCCGTTTTCTGGCCCCCGGAAAGCCTGTGGTGAAATCAGCCACAGCATCAACACACATCCGTGGTCGGAGGTCTCAGTCCAGCCAACTGTCCAGGTGGCTTCTGGATTTGAGGGATTATCTGTGGATCAAGTGTAATCCCAGGCTGTCTGCCCCCACCCTTCCCCAGCAGCTTCAGGCTTCCCACCCTCAGTCTTGGGGAACTGGACACACGATTCACCCTTAGCTGCAGGGACACCTATGAGGGAAACATGTCTCCGGCCCCACGTTCATGACCAACCATTTTATCGTTAGTTCCCGGTGGGAGGGACTAGGAGAGGTGTGTGGAGGCTACCTTGCCTCCACTAGGGGGGCTGGTCTACCACCAACATAAGGCATGAGGTTTTTAGAAGGAAGCAGAAATCAAATTCTGAAATCAAATGCAATCAAACTGACACCAGCTGACGGGCACTGACTCGGGATCACAGCTGCGTTCAGTCAGAGGCCCTGTCCTCGCCCCGCTAGTGGGGTCCTAGTGAAAATGTGATGTGGCTCAGTGGTTAAGTTGTTCTGTGAACTGGGAGGTCAGGGTTTGATTCCCGGTCAGGGCACATGCCCGGGTTTGGGGGGCCTGCGGGAGGCAGCTGATCAATAATTCTCTCTCATCATTGATGTTTCTATCTATCTCCCTCTCCCTCTCTGAAATAAAATATATATATATATTTTTTTTTTAAAGGATGTGGTGTGGGGGTTTTCTTTGGTTGTGTGTCCCAGCCTTCCCTAAAATCTGTCCTCTGCCCGTGTCACCAGTGACCTCCCCCCAAGACACCTGAGCCCAAGGCCACATACTAGCAGGTAAGATGCACCACATGGACAGGACTCCCTGTCTGCTCCAGCCCAGAAGGAGGCCCAGCCCAGCCACTGTAAGTTCCTGGAGTCAGTACGGAAGACCGTGCAGGGTGTGTGGGTAAGGATGGGGGAGGGCAGCCTGGGAAGAGGCTGGAAAAAGCCTCAGAGAGCAGGGAAGAGCTGAGGCAAACTTGGAAGAATGAGTTGAAGTTGGGCAGGCCTTGGAGGGGTAGGGAGAGGCATTCCGAGCAGAGGAAACTGCTTGAGTTAAAGAAAAAGCACAGCATGGTACGTGCTAGAGGTGCGCGGAAGACTACGGCACTTGGGGCATTTATTAGAACATTCAGCAGGTCATGTGGTCGGGCATTTTGATTTTATCCTGTGGCTGGAGCAGCCCCTGGTGAGGGGGCTCTTGGTCTGACTCGGAGACTGGATCAGGTGAGCATTAGTGGGGCCTCCCTGAGGCAGCACTGTGGGGGATGGATGTTTTGTTTGAGAGGGGGGTGGGATCCAGACCAGAGAGAGTCAGAGAAACAGATAGGCTTCTGTGGGTAATCCAGGCCTGAGCTGATAACGGCCCCGCCGGAACTTGGCAGTGATAGCAGCAACTGCAAAGGCCACACAGATGGGAGAAACACATAGGAAGTAAACTTCCGGAAGGGATGGAATAGAGGAGTAGGAGGTGACCCAGGGATTTTAACTGGGGTGACTGGGTACATGGTGACACCATTAGATAGGGGCCCTGAAGAAACAGTCAGGGTGCGCAGCAGGGGGAGGGGGTGATGTTTGGATTTATTAGTAAGTTAGCATTGATCCTGTGCCCAAGGGGGTGCCCAGTAGGCAGTGGGGTGGCCCGACAACCAGGACAGGAAGGCCATCTGTCTGCTGGATTGCTCCCTCACTTCCCATATCCAATAGATTTCCAGGTCCCAGGACTCTGCCCACCAGATCTCCCTCCGGCCCTGCCCTTCCCAGCCCCGAAGTTAGAGCCTCCTGCTCGGTGGGTGTGTGATCTATACAGTACACAGGACCCCATACATGGAAGGATCCCATGCTTGGTTTACCGCTCTGACACTCTTCAAATTCCTAATACTTTTTGGACAAGGGACCCTGCATTTCCCTTTTGCACTGGACCCCACACATTATATAGCTGGTCCTGCCCATGGATGTGTTTACAGGGTCCCACTCTCCCCAACACGGGGCCCTGCTTCCCAATCCCCAAGCTCTCTCCTCGCTCTCGTCCTCTGCAATGTGATCCTTCTGAGTATAGCTCTGAGCACAGAGCCCACCTGCTCAGCTCAAAAACCTTCAAGGACAACCTACGCACTATCTGATAAAGCCCAGATTCCTCAGTGGAACACCAAGGTCCTTGTTCTGGCCAGTTAATCATAATCCACCTCCAACCTTATTTTTCTCCTTCCTTCCTCCCTTCCTTTCTCCCTTCCTTCTTTCCTTTCCTTCCTTCTTTCCTTTCCTTTCCTTTCCTTCCTCCCTCCCTCCCTCCCTCCCTCCCTCCCTCCCTCCCTCCCTCCCTCCCTCCCTCCCTCCCTCCCTCCTTCCCTCCCCACATTCTCAGGCTCCTTCCTTCACACCAAGCTGCCTGTTTCCTGCCCAGCATTTTGCTTCTCCATCCTTCCTACAGGACCTGAGTGCTTCCCCCATCCCTTTGTATCAGAGCCTCCCTTCATCTCCACACACCAGCTTGGGAGCTACTGCTGTACCCACAAGAAGCCACCCCTTAACCCCCTCCCTCCCACCCCCCCACCTCCTGGGAGTTCTCCTCCCCCAACCTGATGCATGAATGTATCTGTCTGGCCATTAGCCCGCAGGCTCCCAGGACTTATCCCACCATCAGTGACTCCATCAAATGCCTAGCACATGGTAGGAGCTCAATGCTGGTGGAATGGAATTCAGTGCTTGCTAAGACTTGAGAGCGGCTGGCTTTTTGGAAGGTGCTTGGGAAGAAAGTTGGCATAAATCAGGGCCTTAGACCCTGCGTGAGAAGGCAATAGGACCCTGTGGACGCGAGACCCCAGGATCAGGAACTAGAGTTCATTGGCCACAGGCCTAGGAGGAAGAGGAGGGTATCTGAGACTGGAATTATGTAAATAATCATACCTGCCCTCCCTTCAGCTTTGGAATAGAGGTAAGGGTGGGTTGGGGGGGAGGGGGAGAGGAGGAAGCAGAATTTAAATTAACACTGTGAATCCATGAGGTAGGACCTTGTTCTCTGCCATTCTCCCCCCACCCCCCGCCCCCCCACCAGTCATTCCAAAAGGGGACAAGAAGACTTTCAAGTTTCTTGGACCTCACTTAACCAGTCATCCTAACCCTTCATTATTGTGAATGGGGGTTCTTACCCTGTGGAGGTCTTACCCTTTTAAAAATGTTCGGGGCTGCTTCTTGGAAATCTGCACACACAGCATTTAGCTCCCAAGGTCAGGGAGTTCCGCGGACCTGGGAACTCCAGTCTCTCTCCCTGCTCATCACAGCCTCAGTGGGAGCCACTGGGGATTCCTCTCCAGCCCTGCTTCCCACATCCAACCAAAAGGTGGGGGGCCAGGTGGCCTCTGGGATGGTCCAGAGGCTACCCCAAGGGCACTACCACCAGCCCCAGCCCTCTCAGAAGGATACACTTTGCTTCCTCTCTTTATTGGCATACTCACTGTAGGAAATGTAGAGAAGTGAAAAAGGTGCTTTTCTTAAAAAAAAAAAAAAAAAAAAAAAAAAGCATTACTTGCTCTGGCGTAAGATCCCAAGTCAAGGTCTAGGCCCAAGACTTGTTTCTTGTCATCTTGGATAAAGGAAGGAGCCCTGGACTAGGAATCAAAGATCTGGGTTCCCGACCAGTCTCTGCTATTTTCCGATTTTTTAAATTATTTTTATTTATTTATCTACCTAATACTTAGAACATACCTTTTGTGTGGATAGGTGTTTTTCTCCCTATGGTCCCCCCCCCACACACACACACATACACACACACACACACACACACACACACACACACACACACACATCTCTCTCGTTATCAGAATCTTAGACGGGAGCAAGTAGTGTTCATTCAGAGGTACAGACAGCACATGCTGTGTGACTGTTGAAAATCACACAGCCTCTGAGAGCCATGATTGCCTCTTCTATAAAACGGGGCCATCAGTGCCTGCCTGCTAATGGTGAGTGACAATGACGTCATGCACATGAAGCTGTG